GCGAGGGTAACTTGAGCTCGAGCTGGTTGTGTCTACAGCTTAGCTAATCAGTTTGTCCCGTTTTGAATTCTTTTTGTTGTTTATGGTTTTATATATATATAATCATTTTTTTGTTTTTAGATGTTTTTTTTCTTTTTTAATGGTATTTTATTCCTGTTTCCTGTGTGCCTCGGATCACTTTTAAATGAAAAAAATAAATAAAATGAAATCTGAATAGAAACCGGTTTTCAGAGAGACGTGCCCTTGAATGAGAAAGGCGGTGTGGATGTGTCGTCGATGTTAGCGCCCTCTGGTGGATGTGAAAAGCGTTGTATGTGTGTTGGTGATGTTAGCGCCCTCTGGCTGATGGGAGAGGCAATACATGTGTGTGCTGCTGGTGTTACTGCCCTCTGGTGGACACGGGTGGTGTTGGCACCTTCTGTTAGACAGCTGACCGCACTGGCCAGTCAACAAGAGGACAGCGGTCTGATGTCTACTGGAAAGTCCTTTCTCCAGTAGACGAGTGATGATGATGATGGTGACAACGGAGGGTACTGACAGCGAATACCTGTGTGTATGTGCTGTATATTCACACCTATCTATAATCACCTATCAGGTGTTTCCTGTCTGTGTAAGAGTCAGCCGCGGCTGTGAGTTGTGGGGATGTGAATGTCGATCAGCTCGGGCCGAGCTCGGCGCCAGAGTAGTTTCTTTGCCGCAAACGGTTCTGGGCATCGAGGCAGGCCCAGGTCAGACCCGAACATCTCCAGCTGCTGTTAATGAAGAAGCCCTGCGCCCGACAGAGGAGACTGACTGCAGGCCTTTCAGATCCTCCCAGTTTGCTGCCGAAGCCAACCTTCAGAGTCCACGGTGAAGCATGAACCAGATGCCAGAGGAATAAACTCCAAGGGAGTCTGCTCAAGACCCAGGACAGGGGCCCCTGCTTTACATAGAGGGTGGCGGGTGTCATGCAGTCGAAGCCGATGCCCTGGGGTCACTCCTGGAAGGCCAGGAAGATGAGAGCCAGGGGAAGAGACTGTAGGGTCGGGAAGCTGGGTTGCGAGGTTGTGTTTCGGGGAGAAAGAGGGATGAGCAGGTGCCCATTCCCACGAACCGAAGGATATCCAGGCTGTTGCACAACCCAGCAAGCTGAGCCGAGAGACACTCTCAGACCAGGAAACAGCATACGTGAGCAGCACAGCTCTCCAACACAGGGTCTGACACACAAGGTCAATTTCATTCCCCCTCCCCTCCCCTCCCGCCTCTAAAAGCTTAAAACAGGAGGTTCTTGCGTGACGGTCTGCAGGAGTTGGACAGGTAAGAGACCGAAGTCGATCCGATCACAGAGTCAGAGTCCTCCAGCTCTCCTGTCAGGCTCTGCAGCACCTGTATGACTCATTGCCACCCTACCCCCCGCGGCGCAGCTCTGGCCTACTGTGTGTGCCCCTGGATCACCTCCACTCTGTGGGTGACTGGGCCCTCTCTTGCAGTGCCCCAAAACTCTGGAGGTCTAGCCCTCAAAATATAAAACATCAGAGTCGCTTCACAGCCAGACTCAAAACCTTCTTCAGAAGGGCTTTTACGTGTCTGCTCCATTTTCTACCTTTTGCTGCACTTCTAATTGTCTTTTTATATGGGTTTGCTTTGTAATTTGCTATCCTTATAACTGTTTTTTTAAAGTTTATTGTTTACTTTTAAAGGCGCTATAAAAAAGCTTATGGTGATGATGAGGCTGAGCACTGAGCTCGTTGGTCCGAGACTGCCTCCTAGTGGCGAGAAGCGGCGTTCCAGGACAAACTATTTATTCACTGAAAAAATTGAATTGAGTGATTTTGAATCAGCTACTCTCCTTAAAAAGCAGAAACCAATTAAGAAGACCTAAAACATATCTTGAATGTACTAATAATAGTATAGATATG